CAAGCTTCAGAACTGATACACACACACACACACACACACACACACACACACACACACACACACACCACAAAAGGATTGAAGGCATAGTTTAGCAATAGAGTACCTATCAAGATTAAGGCAAGTGTAGTGTTAGTATTCAGATGTACAGTAATTTAATTGAATGCATAAGATTAATAGTCAAGGACCATTTACTGTAGCATATATGATTAAGCTCATAGTATAAATCAATGAGAAAGTGAAGGTGTACATGTGCAATAGAGTATTTCTACAAAAATAATGTTTATATTTCTACCAAAAAAGTTTATATTTTCTTCACATATCCCAAAATGTCACATATCCCAAAATGTCACATATTAAATAAATTTTAAAAATACAAATCATAAACAGAAACTAGAAAATGTGGTGTTAAATGATACATTTCATGTTAGCTTTTATAGTAAAAAATTTATTAAATAACTCAAAAGTTGATGTAATGTTTGAAATCAAGCTAATCAAAATAATTGCTTACTATTTTTTCCCCTTTGCAGACATCCGAATACCACTAATGTGGAAAGACTCTGATCACTTCAGCTATAAAGAAGGTATTGCAATTTTGATTTGTAATTGAAATACTTTCTATAGTGTATAGTAATTTTTTTTTGTCAGTTATGGAACTTGAACTTTGGATCTGGGTGCTATCCTTCAGTTTTTCTGATCAAGGCTAAAGCTTTACCACTTCTGGTTTTCTAAGTGTTTTATTGGAGATAAGAGTTTCGTGGACATTGCTGCCTGAGCTGGCTTTGAACCATGATCCTCGGGTCTCAGCCTCCTGAGTAGCTAGGATTACAGGTGTGAGCCACAGGCGCCTGGAGTGTTTAGTAAATTTTTTGTTAAAGAAAAAAAAATTTCCACACTGAAATCAGTTGATACATTTGGCAGAATAAGCTGAATCACATGGATCTGTTGTTTCTTTGAGCTTGTGTGTAAATATGTTGGAATCCTTGATACTGATTAAGATAATGCATTCCAAGTGTACTTTCCTGTTGTTGATAGGAACTTGAGCAAGGACACCAAGTAATGGGTTTAGAGTAGAGAGATCGGAGGAAATAATGAAACAAAAGAAAATGCTTAAGAAGCAAAGGCAGCATTTTTTCTGCTGGCCAGAATCTGGGAGGTCTTTTCTGCTTTATTTTGCGACTTAAGATTATTTAACAGGATATAATGAAGAACGATTTTGAGCTTGATCTGATTATTTTTTTCCTTTACTATTTTATGGTTTTATTAGTCTTCACAAATCTATGTATTGCTTAGGTCATGGAAATTAACCTCAAATGATTTCTAGCTGTTAGAGGCAAACCAGAAAAATATGATAATCCTTTATCTTTCTTGTCTATTGTGATAGCTTTGTTCCTCTTACTTTAAAACTGAACCATATTGAGCATAATTAGTTTTATATGAAGAATTTAAAATTAGGTTAGTGTTTGTTATTCAATTAGGAAATATAATTCACTTTACAAAGGAATGCATGTGGAAATTAAGTAAGTCTTCCTGATTACTACTATAGAGAGTATGTTTTTCTTATAATGAGAAAATGCCACTCTTTAATCACCTAATACTTTTTAAACCATCACCTAATATTCTTAAAATGTCACCAGATTAAAAGGCCTAGCAGCTATGTTTTTTTTTTGTCTGTGTGTTTCCATGTATATTTTTTTTATTGGTGTGTGTGTGTGTGTGTGTGTGTGTGTGGTGTGTGTGTGTGTGGTTTCCTTCTTGTTTTTAGTGTGGTGGAAAATATTTTACTGTTGTTAATCTGCCTACTCTTAAACTCTTCTAATAAAAACCATCTTTTTCTTAAATAGACTTGGAAATATATTGTATATTATATTTTTATAATATATGTAATAACTTGACAGTTAAGGCTTAAAGAGATTTTGAGTAATAAAATGTATGACTTTGGTGTTTCCCTTGGGCTGTTGAGAGAGCTGCATGTTGAACTTTGTTTGGAAACTTCCTGGTTAAAGTTAGGTTCTAGATGGGACAGTTATTACTGTGTACTTCCAGAAAAGCCACTGAAAATGGTCAAATATTCAATGTTTGAAAATAGCAATCTACTAACAACCTATTATATGTCACTTTCAGGGTGATTTTAAGTTATGTGAATATGATTGATGGTATGTATTATTGCTTAAAATGTTGTGTTTATTCCTTAGGATCACCACGCTATGCCATTTTCTGTTTATTCAAAATGGGAGCTAAAGTTTTTGATACTGACATGATTATTGTGGATAAAACAATCACAGATATATGTTTTGAAAACATAACCATATTGTAAGTATATTTAATCTTCAGAGAATGTCAATAACCTAAAGTTCTACATTTTTTAAAGCCTAATTATTATTTTTGTATTCTTATGGCCTAAATGTTGGATCCTTGGCTTCTTTGTGAAGAATCTTTATTAAAAGCTCTTGAAGTGATTTTGAAAATTTCTCTTTTCAGAAGAAGCCCATTTCTTCATTTTCAATTTTCTGATTAAAAGATAAAACTTATCATTAATATTAGTAAATATTTACGTATTTGATATAATAAAAATTTGAAAAATGTTAAATGAATATGCTATGGATAAAGTAGAATTTTATTTTAATAGTTTTGATATAGAGTGAATTTAGGTGTAAGACAGATTCTTCTACGTCATATAGGAAATTCAGTTATACATATAATAAAATAATTAAGTAATTTTATTTGTAAAATTGCCCTGAAGTATGTATCGTAGGAAAAATACTTTCATAAATTTGTAGAGTATGCTTTTTCTTATGGTGCACTTCGTTCATGTACTCTACAGCAGTAAAAAAAAAAAAAAAAAAAAAAAAACTCCTTGAGGCTGTTTTTATTGCCCCTGCTCTTTTACAGGCTCATTTTATTGTGGTCATAATACAGAACCAGAGAGAGAACTCCTCAGGTAGCCATAGAAATCATTTTTAACTAATATAAGTTTCTCCTGGTCTTTTTCAAATGTTCTATCGGCTTAAGCCAGCATGGGATTTGTGTTTATTTTAGACTTTTAAAGATTCTATCTTCATATCTAAATGTTAATAGCTGCTGAACTGTTAAGATAAAATCAATATACATGGGTTTTTGCTGTTTTCAGCAATGGAGTCACAGTTGTGATTTCTGAGGACTAGTTTTGTTGTTCACATAACACTGAAACTGTTCTAGAAAACCATATTTTGTGGCTTCTAGTCCAGCATCCTATAATAATTGCGTAGTGCTGAAAAATAAACTGTATTGTTCTGGTTATTAACAGTAATCCAGGCCTTCTTACAACCTTTATAAAACTATAGGCACTTATTTAGGATTCTCTCCTCCACCAAAAACAAACAAGCATAATAATAATCCCTAAATGCTTACATAATTCAAACTAAAAAAATTTTTCACTCACTTACCTGAGTAGATTTATTTTCATTACCAACTATTGCTAATTAATTTTTTCTGCCAAAATTATCCTTTGAATGGACTCTTCATTTCACTTTGCTATTTTTGTTGTTGTTGTTTTTTTTAACTGCAGAGACAAAAATGCAGACACCCCCACCCCCCGAGGGAATGAACAATATAAATCACTTGGGAAGACAACGCATGATCTATCTTTTTTTTTATTCTGTAAATACTTTAAATTGTCCTAAAAATAACTAACAAATGTTCTAAATGTTAAAAATGTGGTTTTTGTTATGATGATTGTTTTCAATAAGTATTCAATGTGTATGAATCTCTCTTTTCTCCTCTAAATATTGACATTTGTTAGTCATTACCAGGAATACTGTATTTTTTAAAGTTGCCAAATAATAAACCATAAAAATATCTGAAGTTATTCTTTGGATTTATCTGAGCTATTAATAGACCATTCAAATTTTGTAAAGTCTATGCTGAATTTCAAGTCTCTTAGGCTGATGGGTCTTCCACCTGCAGGAATATCTGCTACAGATAGATATATTCTGTAGTGTATTTTATCATTAGTAATCCTACAAGTATTTCATGCTAAAGGTAGTTTATTATGTCTGAAAACAGGTGTCACTTTTAGCATTGACTAAAATTATATAATTTCTGTATATAGGTTTAATGTATATCAAACATCCTCTAGTTTTAGGTAGAGTGCTATATTGATACAGAAAACATCAAGATAGTGCCTGCCCTCAAGTAGTTCATGCTTTCTATAAGACCAAATAGTGAAATGTTTATAGTTGTTAAGTACAAAAATGTTGTGGGTATGCACAGTGGTAAGTGGGCTGTAAGTGACTATGAAGAAAATTAAACATTCAACAGATTTGATTTGGAAGAATAGCATTTCAGGAAGGTACACATATAATGTGAATACCTTAAGAACAGTGTCACTAAAGGACTGAAAACATAACATTGGCAACAAAATGACTAGAGCATTTTATTCTTTCTCTTTAAGTAATATGCCCATGTATTGGTTTGAGTTAAGGATGCCTTAGTATGGAATCGGGGGTAAAATCTGTAGTAATTCATAGGCCTCGTACATACTGAATAAACATAGGAACTTCCATTTCATTATGAATATTTTAAATGCCATTTTGTATGTTCTGAAAACCTCAAAGAACGTTGTCATTTTATTTCTATTCAGTTAAATGTCTAACACTGTTCATGTCTTTTAAAATATTTATCTTTAGTGACGAAGCAGGACCAGACTTTCAGATAAAGGTAGAAGTATATAGTTGCTGTGCAGAAGAATCTTCTATAAGCAATACACCAAGAAAGCTAGCCAAGAAACTTAAGACATCTATAAGCAAAGCTACAGGAAAGAAAATACATTCCGTGTTTCAAGAGGAGAACCATGAAACAAGTTTGTTCCTCAGTTCTACTGTTCCGTAAGTTTTCTAATACAGTATCTATGGTAATTTAATAAAATGTTGGTGATACTTCAGAGTTTTATATGATTAGTAGATGTTTGCACTTTAAATGGGAAAAAACAGCTGCAGGGAAAAAACCCTTAGTTGTCAGATACTTACACAGTTGAGGTATATTTAATATCTCCCTTTGAAGGTAGGAAGTCAAGTGATATAGTATTTTTAGAATTCTAGTATCTACCCAAAAGAAGAAATGTTTTTCTTGAAAAAGATCTGGGTGTAAGACAAAGTTTTTGCTACAGTAGTAACTAATTGAGTTTACTAATTGAGTTTCTACATCTATCATTCTAATAGATTTAAAAAATTTTAAGAACTTTTTAAAAACCTTCATTATCATATTAACAAAATGAAAAGGAAGATCTTAATATATCTAATGTCTAGATTATATTCAGATTGCTACGACTTTGAAAATCTGTTGTGCTTGGTTTAAAGCAATCTAAACAATGTCCATAGCATTACAATTAAGCAAATGTGGTTTGCTTTAATTACATTTGTTTCTACTTTTTTCTTGCCATTAATTTTTTAATATATATTTTTTATTGTAAAGCTATGGTACAGAGAGGTCACAGTTAAATTAGCAAAGTAATGGATCCATTTCCTATCAAGCATTGTTACCCCCTCCTTTGTTTTTCCCCTACCATCCCTTTCCTCCTCACTTCCCCAACTCCTCCCTTCCCCCCTCTCCCCCCGCCCCCCAAAGTTGTAAAGTTGTAAAATGCTGAAATAAGGATACAGGATGACCCATTGCAACAGGAGATATACAAGACACTGTGTTGAAAACGAACTTTTATTTTTTGTCAGTCATGGGGCCTGTACGCTAGGCCTGGGCGCCGTCCCTCAGCTCTTCAGCTCAAGGCTAGTGTTCTACCACTTGAGCCACAGTGCCACTTCTGGCTTTTTCTGCTTATGTGGTGCTGAAGAATAGAACCCAGGGCCTCATGCATGCAAGGCAAGTACTCTATCACTGAGCCACCTTCCCAACCCCTTTTGCCTTAATTTTTGAGGAAATCAGGTCTTTTATAATTTTCCATATTTTTAATCTAGTCGATTACCCTTTTATAACATTTCAGCACATCATGTTCTTTTAATACCAGCTTTCTATTCAGCTTCTGGTTTAAATCAGTGTATATCAGGTTTTACGCATAGCCCCAACTTTTATCTAATATTGTCTTCAGTACCAGGGTAAAAGTTTGAGAACAGCATTAGAAATTAGAATGCATAGGTTGATTAATTTTGTTACTTTAACAGTGGTCTAATTCAATGGTAAGACTTATAAGAAATTTTACACAGTTAGATTTAAACTAAAGATATTAGTCTTTAGCCAAAAAGCATAAATATAAAATAATATCTGTTTTCCCCGCTAATGTGGCATGTGCCCAAATATAGCTATCTTTCTTGACAAGAGTGCATTCTTTCATATTACCAGTTAAGTAGTCATTTATTTCTTCATATCATTTCCCTCATTTCAGTTGGCCTATTTGATACAAAAAAAAATGCAGCTGATTTAACTTTTGGGGACTCAGTATTAGAGTTGGCTAAAAGGAATGAGTGTAATGTTTTAGAAAGAAAATGTTATCCTGACAAGAATGTTTTAGAAGTGAAGTCATTGTTGGTTTTGGAAACAATAACATTATAATTAGTCATGGTTTAAAAATGAAGTAACTTGGAATATCATCATAAAATATTGTTGGATCTGAAAGAAGACAGTGAACATTTTTGGTAATTTTTAGCATGTTCCCTAATGTGACTCATTTATTCATTTTATTTGTGGAATTTAGCTTACTGAAATTCCTTTGATTAAATGTTCTCAGCATTTCTAATTGTTAACTATTTAATCTTCTTTGATAATATAATAGTACATTATTCTTTATTATATAAACACATTTTAAATTTTTAAATTTTACCAGTGAGAAATGATAAAAGTGTGATCTTTTTTTTTACTTGCTGAAGACATATATTGAATTTTTAAAAAGCAAGCCACAAAACATTTTAAATTAGTTGCTGGCTTTGTTTCATGTATTTTTAATATTCTTGAAATGATTAGCGGAGAATTGAATGTCTTCCCTTCACCAAGCCCACCAGTTGATCTCCACCAGTTTATCTCCTCCAGTTATCTCCACCAATTTATCTTCTTCTCTTTGAACTGCTTTTTCACTGAGGGCCCATCTTCTTGTGTACCAGCTCTATCCTTCCAGTTATTCAGAGATAGGTTCCTGCATATGCTCAGCTTTCATTCTATTACATTAATTACATTAATCCCACCGGTTTATAAACATGCTTCCCCTTTCATAACTACTCTTTTTAGAAATAGAAAGCTTTTTAAATTTTATTCCTATCTTAATTTTCTCTTCTCCCATTTTCTCAGGCCATTTCTATTGCCTTTCCATGTTTCCTCTATCCCATCCTACAGAAATTCCTCTCAACAAGGTCAACATTAGCTTGTATGCTGCCACATCTGGTAGTTGGTTTATGGTGTTATTCTTCCTATCCCATTCAGATCACACAACTGATCACTCTGTGAGGTGGCTGTTTTTCTTTTTTTTTT